ACCGACCTAATGTACTGGTAAGTGTCGAGCCTAACCTCGACGAAGTAGTGACGAGGCTGTGAAAAGACACCCACATAATAAACCTGTGCAATTTAACAGTATATGTACAAAATAGCAACAAATAGAAGCTAGACAAGAAATATCGGGAGGGGAACATGCTGAGGGGGTTACAAGATAAAGAATCACAGCAGTAATAACAACTTGATCAAGCAATATACGTTGAACCAATAAGAACAAGTAAACCCAGTAAAGGAAAATGCACAGCATCACCCTTCGTGCTTTCACTCTCAACCTTACCATATAATCAATAGAAACGGCACGGCATCACCCTTCGTGCATTAACTCTCATAACATGGCACAGCATTGCCCTTTGTGCATTAACACTCACAATATGGCACAGCATCACCCATCGTACTTTTACTCTCTCATAACATGGCACGACTTCACCCTTCATGCATTAACACTCTCCCTTACAATAAAGCAATGAACAAAAGACAACAGGGAGATAGAAATAACATGAACAAGTCTTACTTCAACATTTGGTTCCACAATACCAGCCTCAACCTTGAAATCAATACTCAATTATCACCAAAAGATCCGTAAACATGATAAGAGCGATCAACTTGATTACTAGTCTAAACATGGATAACATGATCAAAAACGAGCAATATTTACAAGAAACCAAGTCCCAACCGCATCATTTAACCCGATAACAACGCATAGGGACTCGTCACCTCACCTATACGTTGTACCCAACATCTTAACACGTAGCGAATAGACAAATAAGTCCTAATCCCTCAAGTTAAAGTTAACCACGACACTTACCTTGCTCCAAAGACCAAACTCAAAGCTCAACCACCATTTTGCCTTTCAAACAAGCCTCCGAACCAATAGAATCTAGGAATTTACCAACCAAACGATTCAAATTAATCCTTAGGAACTACCCACGATTGCAAAGAATTCAATGTAGGTCACTATTGAAAACCCGGACCCGCTTGGTCCAAACCCAAAATTCGGACCAAAACTCGATTACTCATTCACCCTCGAGCCCGGTTATGTAATTTGTTTTGGAATCCGACCTCAATTTGAGGTCTAAATCCCTATTTCCCAAAAATCCCTAATTCTACCAAAACCCCCCCCCCCCCCCCAATTTCTACCATGAAAACTCTAGATTTTAGGTTGAAATCCTAGGAAAAGTAGTGAATGATTGAAAGAAACTAGTTTAGAATCACTTGCCAATGATTTGGGGAAGAAATGTTCTTTGAACAATCGCCTCTAGGGTTCTTGAGTTTGAAATTTGAAGAATGAACCAAAAATCCCATATAAGTCATATTTACCCAGCTGCAGATGTCGCAAATGCGATACCATGTTCGCATTTGCGAACATCGCAATTGCGAGAAAGAGGTCGCAATTGCGAACTCCTTCAGAACTCCCAGTGATCGCAAATGTGAACCCTGCACCCCTCGCAAATGCGATCTTTCCTTCGCAAATGTGAAGATTCTCAAAATAGTACTGAGTCGCAAATGCGACTCTTCCTTCGCAAAAACGGACAGGACAAGTTAGCAAATGCGAACTCCAGCCTTGCAAATGCGAGTATATAGTGGTCCAGCTACTCTTCGCATTTGCGATGAGTAGCTCGCAAATGCGAACCCCTCAGAGGTCGCAAATGCGATGCCTGATCTCGCAAATGCGAGATCAGAGGCCTGCAACAAAATCTGAAACACCATCAACATTTTCCAAGTCAAATTTCACTATGTAGCCTATCCGAAACTCACCCGAGGCCTCGGGGCTCCAAACCAAACTTGCACACAAGTCTGAAAACATCATACGAACTTGCTCGCATGATCAAATTTCCAAAATAATACCTAGAACTACGAATTGAACACCAAATCAAATGAAACTTTCAAGAAAACTTTGAAACTTCTATTTTCACAACCGGACGTCCGAATCACGTCAACTTCGTTTCTCACCAAATTTCATAGACAAGTCATAAATATGGTATTGGACCTATACCGGGTTCTGGAACCAAAATACGGACCCGATACCTAAAAAGTCAAACCTTGGTCAACCATTTTCATTTCATTAAGACTTTAACTTTCAAATTTCGACAAAGTCTGATATCTCGGACTAGGGACTTTTGAATTCGGTTCCGATCATACTCCCAAGTCCCAAATCACGATACGGACCCACTGGGACCATCAAAACACTAATCCGAATCTGTTTGCTCAAAAATGTTGACCGAAGTCAACTCGAATGATGTTTTTAGGCAAATATTCTTATTTTTATCAACTTTTAACATAAAAGCTTTCCGCAAACACGCCTGGACTATGCACGCAAATCCAAGAGGGATAAAATGAGGTGTTTAAAGCTTAAAAGCGCAGAATTGGGTTCTTAATCTTAAGATGACCTTTTGGTTCATCACATACACCTAAGTCCAAAATCACCATGAGAACCAATTGGGACCATCAAAACAATGTTATGGGGTCATTTTCATAAAAGTTAAACCTCGATCAATATTTCCAACTTAAGCTTCCCAACTAAGAATCAAATGTTCCCAATCAATCCAGAACCTCCCCCCAAACCAAACCAATCATCTTCGCAAGTCACATAACCACAAATTTACATGCTAGGAGATTCAAAAGGGGAAACCGGGCTCAAATACATAAAATGACTCGACGGGTCGTTAAATTCTACCTCTCTTAAACAAACATTCGTCCTCGAATGTGTATAGAGACATACCTGAAGTGCCAAAAAGGTAAGGCTAACTGCTCTGCATATCGTGCTTGGTTTCCCAAGTCCCCTCCTTGATTGGATGACCTCTCCATTGGACCTTCACTGATGAAATACTTCGCCCTCAACTTCTAGACCTTTCTATCCAAAATAGCAACCGGTTCCTCACATAGGTCAAATCCTTGTCCAATTGCACTGAGGTGAAATCTAACACATGAGGCGAATCACCATAATACTTCCGGAGCATGGAAATATGGAACACCAGGTGAACTCCCGATAAACTAGATGGCAATGCAAGTTCGTAGGCCACCTCACCATGTCTCTTTAGAACCTTGAAAGGACCAATATACTGAGGGATCAACTTGCCCTTCTTACCGAACATCATCACACCCTTCATGGGCGATACTCCGAGTAGGACCCTCTCACCCACCATAAATTCCACATCACAAGCCCTTCTATCAGCATAACTCTTCTATCTAGACTGCGGTATACGAAGCCGCTCCAGAATCAACTTCACCTTCACCAAGGCATCCCGAACCAAATCAGCGCCTAGCCTCCCTAGGCTCAAACCAACCAACTATAGAACGACATCGCCTCCCATATAAGGCCTTATACAGAGCCATCTGGATGCTCGACTCTAGTTATTGTTGTAGGCAAACTCTGCTAGCGGTAGAAACTGGTTCCACTGACCCCTAAAGTCAATGACACAAGCTCGTAACATGTCCTCCAAGATATGAATAGTGCGCTCGGACTACCAGTCCGTCTGGGGATGAAATGTCGTACTCCGCTCGACCTGTGTTCCTAACTCACGCTACACGACTCTCCAAAAATAGGATGTGAATTACGTGCCTCGATCCAAGATAATAGACACCAGCACATTTTGAAGGCGAACAATCTCACAAAGATAAATATGAGCTAGCTGCTCTAAAAAGTAGGTAGTCCTGACTAGAATAAAGTGTTCCGACTTGGTCAGTCTGTCCATAATAACTCATACAATGTCTAATCTCCCCAAGGTCCATGGTAGCCCAACTACAAAATTCATGGTGATACACTCCCACTTCCATTCTGGAATATCAAGCCTCTAAAGCAAATCGCCAGGCCTTTCATGCAAGTACTTAACCTACTGACAATTCAAACACCGTGCCACATACTCAAAAATATCTTTCTTCATTCTTCTTCACCAGTAGTGCTGGTTCAAATCATGGTACATCTTCGCGGCGTCCGAATGAATATAATACCACAAACTATGGGCCTCCTCAAGAATAAACTCTTGCAACCCATCCACATTAGGCACACAAATGTGGTCCTGAAGCCTCAACACCCCATCATCCCCTATAGTCACCTCCTTAGCATCCCCATGTTGCACCGTGTCCTTAAGGACAAACAAGTGGGGATCTTCATATTGACGTGCATTGATAAGATCAAACAAGGACGACCATGACACAACACAAGCAAGAACCCGGCTAAGCTCCGAAATATCAAACCTCACGAACCTGTTGGCCAAAGCCTGAACATCTAAAGCTAACGGTCTCTCCCAAACTAGAATAAAAGTAAGACTCCCCATGCTCTTAGCCTTCCTACTAAAAGCATCGGCCACCATATTGGCCTTCCCGAGATGATAAAAAATGGTTATATCATAGTCGTTTAGTACCTATAACCACCTCTGTTGCCCCCATTTCAGATTCTTTAGTTTGAATAAGTGTTGTAGACGCCTATGATTTGTGATCGCCTCACAAGACAAGCCATAAAGATAGTGCCTCCAAATATTGAGTGTGTGAACAATGACTACTAACTCCAAATCTTGCACTAGGTAGTTCTTCTTATGGGGCTTCAATAGACACGAAGCATAAGCAATCACTCTGCCCTCTTTCATCAATACAAACCAAATGCCAACTCGTGAAACATCATAGTAGACTTTGTAAGAAATCGATGACGAAGGCAAAACCAGAACTGGAGTTCTAGTCAAGGTAGTCTTGGACTTCTGAAAGCTCTCCTCAAACTCTTTAGACCACCTGAATAGGTAAACCTTCTGAGTTAATCTAGTCAAAGGAGCTGTGATGGATGAAGAACCCTCTATGAAGCGGTGATAATACCCAGCCAAGCCGAGAAATCTACGGATCTCATTAACGGTAGAAGGTCTGGGCCCTGAACTGCCTCAATCTTCTTTGGATCCACCTTAATCCCCTTAATGGATACCACGTGGCCCAAGAATGCCACCAAGTCTAACAAAAACTTGCACTTGGAGAATTTAGCATATAGCTTTTTCTCCTTCAAAGCTGGAGCACGATCCTCAATTGCTGCTCACACTCCCTTCGGCTGCGAGAATACACCAATATATCATCAATGAAATCGACGATGAAGGAATCAAGATAAGACTGAAACACGTTTTTCATCAAGTGCATGAAAGCTACTAGGGCATTCGTCAGCCCAAAAGACATCACCAAGAACTCATAGTGGCCATAACGAGTCTTGAAAGTTGTATTCTCAATATCTAAAGCCATGATCTTTAACTGATGGTACCCCGAACTCAAGTCAATCTTCGAGAATAGCCTCACACCCTAAAGTTGGTCAAACAAATCATCAATATACACGATAATGGGTACTTGTTCCTGATAGTAACCCTGTTCAACAACCTGTAGTCAATGCATATCCTCATAGAGCCGTATTTCTTCTTTACAAATAACACTGAATCACCCCAAGGTGACACACTCGATTTGATGAAACCCTTATCAAGCAACTCCTGAAGTTGTTCTTTTAATTTCTTCAACTCTACTGGTGCCATGTAGTATAGTGGAATAGATATGGTCTGAGTCCCCAGCACCAAGTCAATACGAAAATCAATATCCCTATTGGGTGTCATGCCTAGTAGGTCTGCTGGAAACATATCTGGGAGCTCCCTCACTACTGAAACTGAATCAATGGTAGGAGTATCAACACTAACATCCCTCACAAAGGCTAAGTATGTCAAACAACCTTTCTCAACTATCCGTTATAACATCAAAATATATACCACCCTACTAGATAGATGATCTAGGGAGCCTCTCCACTCCAACCTCGGCAACTCTGGCATGGACAACTTCATGGTTTTAGCGTGACAATCAAGAATAGCGTGATATGATGACAACTAATCCATGTCCAAAATTACATCAAAATCCACCATGTTAAGTGACAGAAGGTCAACCCTAGTCTCATAGCCCCCAATAGTGACCAAACAAGAATGATAGACCCGTTCTACCATAATAGAATCACCAACGGGTGTAGACACATAAACATGAGTATCCAAGAATCACGAGACATGCCCAAATATGAAGTGAAATAGGATGAAACCTACAAATAAGTGGAACCTAGATCAAATAATATTGTTGCATCTCTATGACAAACCAAAACACTATGATGACAGCATCTAATGCAACAGCCTCAGTCCTACCAGGGAAAATATAACAACAGGCCTAGCCTCCCTCTCTAAGATGTCCTTTACCTGCCTGTCCTCCACTCCTAGCTGGCTGTGCAGGTGGAGTAGCAACTGGAGCAGAAACCATGTCCTGAGTACCCTACGGAGGTCCACCCCTCCAAAGTCTAGTAAAATCTCTCACAGTATACCTGATATCACCATACTCGAAGCAACCTCTCTACGGGCGTGGCTGCTGGTATTGAGTCTGTTCCAGACTGCTAGAATAACCATTGTAGGAACCCCATGCAGAAGGTGTACTGGAAGATGGTTGTCCAATATGAGTGCCCTGAGGTCCCTGACTAGCTGGAGCACTACGAGTAACCTGAAGTGCAGACTGAACATGCCGACTAATGAAGCCTCTGCCATGATGAATTGTAGCTGAAGAATGGGATATACTAAATCCACTAAAACCTCGAGGCCTCTTGGCCTCCATATCCCCTCTCTCATGGCCTCAGATAAGATCTAACCTCCTAGCGATCTCCACAACCTTGTGGAATAGAGTCTCACTCTCCAGCTCTCGTGCCATCCCAAATATGAGGCTATAACCAAGTCCCTCAAGAAATCTATGGACCCTCTCTCTAGTAATGGAAACCAAAGTAGGTTCATGACGAGATAACTCTGTAAACCTCATAGCATACTCAGACACTGTCATACTCCCCTGGCGCTACTGCTTGAAGTCGATGCGCACCTCGTCTCTGGGGGTCTTTAGAATGAACTCCCTCAAGAAGAGATCAGTGAACTGGGTCCAAGTAAGTGGCATTGCGCTAGCTCCTACTCACCTCATAAGTCTGCCACCATCTATGTGCCAGCCCCATAAGCGGGAAAAGTAGTGAGGTCGACCCCGCTTGGCTCCACCATACCCATAGTACATAGAATTCAGTGACACTGATCCAAGAAATCCTGTGCATCCTTAGAAGACCCTCCACTAAACTGGGGAGGATGGAACTTTCGAAGCCTCCCCAAACTGCTCTGCCCCTCGGCTAACACAACTGGCTCTACCTCGGGCTGAACCGCAACCATGGGCTATACCGGTATGACATTCGAAGCCTGATCAACATGAGTTCGCAGCTTTAGAGTATGGGCGGCGGGAGTCTGAGCTCCTTCCCCAGCCTGTGAAGTAGCTGGTGCAATCGGGATCAACCCCTCCTGAGCCAAAGTCCCAAACATGCTTAGAAAGTGCGCCAAATACTCTTGAAGTCCTGGGGTAGCAACAGGCTGCTCAGGTGCATTCTCTATATACTCGGGCTCCTGGTCCACGGCTAGAGCTACTAGAGGCTCCACAGTTGTTGCTCTAGAAGGTACCCTAACTTTGGCATGTGACTTTCCTCGGCCTCTACCCCGGCCCCGACCTCTCACGGCTCTAGTAGGGGCGCGTGTGTCTGCTCATCTGACCCGGCGGAACGTGTCCTCACTATCAGTGAAAGAATAGAAAGACAAGGCTCAGACTCCAAAATTAATAAATCTGCACGATAAGGAAGGAAAGAAGTGAAATTTCCTAATAGTTTTGTAGCCTCTCGAATATAAGTACAGACGTCTTTGTACAGATCCGCAAGACTCTACTAAACTAGCTTATGACTCGTAGAACCTATGAACTTAGAGCTCTGATACCAACTTGTCACGACCCAAAATCCAAATCATGATGGCACCTAGTTCCTAAGACTAGGTAATCCTATCATACCACGATACTAAATAAAATATAACAACTTAAATACTAATAAAAGCTGAGAAATGCGGTAACATAGCCAAAACAAAAAATACATCAGTCACAATCCGAAAACCCGATAATACCGGGTCATAAGCTTTACAAGGAATACATAATAAGTCTCAATTGTACATCACTGTTTGGAAGATAATAAACAGTAGAAAATGAAGTAAGATGGTGACTTTAAGGCCTACGAGCGGGATAGCAGGTATACCTTGAAGTCTCCAACAACTCTGGCTCAACTCTCAAAATGATCACCACAATCCGAGGTACCTGGATCTGCACAAAGAATGTACAGAAACGTAGTATGAGTACATCACACTCAGTACTCAGTAAGTGTCAAGAATAACCTCGGTGGAGTAGTGATGAGGTTCAAGTCAAGACACTATCTAGTCAAGTAATCTGTGCAAGATATCAATATAAAACTGACAACGGAAGAATAAGAACAAATATTAACCACCTCGAAGAATCTGTAACAACAACTCAATGTAAAATAATTCGTTGTTTCCAAAAAAATATCAACGGGAACGGGCATGTGAAAACATGTCAAATTCCACCAAAAACTCATAAACACAAGGCGGAAACATTTAAGAAAATACGTTTGAGATCAAAGCATCAACCCTCGGTTCCAACACATGAACAATAGCAAAGAATCACCGCGATATATCTCATAAAAATCCCAACAAAAGCCACCCTTATGTCGCCGCATATATATTAACAATGGAATGTCACTCTTATGTTGTTGCATGCACATAAATAGCCACTCTTATCTCGCCTCATGCACATCATAAAGAAATACCTCCCTTATGTCGCCGCATGCGCATCTCACCCAACACAATACGATCAACCCGTACAACACGTACACATGTGCCACAATATCCCCAAAACAACAGTACCAATATCACATCACGATATAGCCCACGGCTCAACAACAAAGTGCACAAGAATCATAATAATAACATAAGAGTACGGGGAGTTTTCAAGAACGAGGCATATTTCATATAACAAACAACCCAAATTCAAAGTATATTAATAGCCTAAGACCTAATCCGGTCATAAACCACACATACGCCCATTTACACACTTGTCACCTTATGTACACGTCATTTTACATAGCACAAATAATACACATTTGACCAAAACCTATGGGGTAATTCCCCCACACAAAGTTAGGCAAGATACTTAACTCAAATAGCCCCATTTAATACTCTAGTATGTCCTTTATTTAAAATTTACCTCCGCATGATTCAAATCTAGTAAAAGAAGACACAATTATATCAAATAATGCAAGAGAAACCAATTTCGATTAATAAAGTTAAGATCTTTACACAATTCTTAAAAAGTCAACAAATGTCAACCCCGAGCCCATGCAGTCAAAATCCTAGTCGTGGGGTAGATCTCGACTACCTATGACCCCTCGAGTCCAAATATGTATTTGGTTTTCAAATCTGAGTCCAATTAGACTCTCAAATATCAAATTTTTATTTTTCGAAACATAGTATAAAAATTCGCAAAATTTCTCTTCAAATCTCATGATTTTGATGTTAAAATTCATAAATTATCATGTTATAATATCCAAATTGAGTCAAAATCACTTACCCAATAGTTTTGTATGAAAATCCCCTCCTAAAATCGCCTCCCACCAAATCTAGGGTTCAAATGTGATAAAATGAGACTGTCCCGAAATCCCTTCTTTTTGTTCAGCTGCAGAAGCCGCAAATGCGATCAGGGATTCCCAAATGCGACACAGGCATTGCAAATGCAAAGTCTGACCAGTCTTGTGAATGTCGCAAATGCGACCTGAACATCGGAAATACAATGCCACCCCTTCGCAAAAGCGATCAAGTGGTCGCAAAAGCGACATGTCCTCATCCTAGACCCATTTCGCATTTGCGAGGCTGGCTTCGCAAATGCGGAGCCTACCATCCACTTCCCCCTTCACAAATGTGATAGTTCCTTTGTAAATAGGAAATGGTGCTCGCATTTGCAATAACTGCAGCACCAACACACCAGCAACTACGAACCAAGTCCAAAACATTCTGAAAACACGTCCGAAACTCACCCTAGCCCCCGGAGCTCCACACCAAACATTCACACAAGTCTATGAACATTATACGAACACACTCGCAAGATCAAAACACCAAAATAAGATCCGGAATCACGAATCGAACACCAAAATACATAGAAATCACAATGAAACTCAAAAATAGCTAAAATCACAACCAAGCGTCGGATTCCTATCAAATCAACTCGAAATGACACCAAACTGTGTACATAAGCTTCAAATGACAAAATGGACCTATTCCAAGTCCTAAAACCAAAATCCGAACTCGATAGCCACAAAGTCAACCCATCGTCAAACTTAAGAAATTTCTAAACTTCCAAATTGTCAACTTTCGCCAAAAAGAGCCAATTCAGCCTAAGAACCTCCGAATTTAATACCGGGCATACGCCTAAGTCTAAAATCACCATACAAACCTAGACCACCAAAATACCGTTCCGAGGTTATTTATACAAATGTCAAACTTCGATTAACATTTCCATCTTAAGCTTCCTAAATAAGAACCAAATGTTCCAAATCAATCCAGAATCTCTCCGAAACCAAACCAATCATCCCCTCAATACACATAACAACAAATATACGTACGGGGAGCTTCAAAAGGGGAAACATGGCTCAAATACATAAAATGATCGGTCGAGTCGTTACAATCTTGAATTAACTTGTGGCCACCAATTTTACAGGAGATTAGAACTGTACCTATCCCTTCGATTTGAATATTTGAGGTATCTCCAAAGGACCATTATCTCTCACCATTTTATTTAACTCCATAAACTTGTCTTTGCATCCACACATATGATTGCTTGCTCCACTATCCAAATACCACGAGCTATAATCATCTATGTCTTCTTCCTTGTGTGCAAGCAACAATGTTGACTCATCTTCTTCTTTTTATCGCTAATAAGGTTAACTTTCTTCCTTGAGATTAATTTGGAAAACAGTAGGGATATGCAAGAGCAAATAATTTTTATCGGAAACATTACTCTAATAAATTCCCTGGGAACTCTTCAACATTGCTACCATATTTCCAAGAGTAATGGCCAAATGTATGATAATTATAACACTCAATTTCTGATTTGTCATACATTTATCCATTATATTCTTGATAGTAGTCACGTCCTCTTCCTCCTCTTTGTCTGTGACCACAACCTCTAAATGTTTGGTGGATTTTAACTTCATTGTTAAAGTTGTTATCATTACTTCTTCCTCTTCCATGAATGCCACATCCTCGTCCTCGTCCTCTTCCATTCACTCTATAATCCTTAAAGGATGCATAAGTTTTAAGAAGTTGCTGCAGAAACACTTCTTGTCTCCTCTTGATCTTTTC